TTCAGATGTACTCTTTTTCTATCGAAGTAGCTATTTCTAGTACCGTATTCCTTCTTTCAACAAAGCGACACTATAAGCTGCAACACTGCATCTATAAACTAATTGCCTAAAACATCATTTCATTTCAGTCATAACCTTAATGCAGTGAGATAAAGAAAAAACACTTACTGTTGGTATATCTGTATGTGTTAAACAGTGGCGGTTTATTTCATAAAAATGTAGTACTGTATTATCTTCTACAGACAATTTACATATACAGTTAGTTAATGTGTATGCGAGTGTACATCAGCAAACTGTTGAGTAAATCACTGTTATAGAGAAATATGCTTATAACTTCACTTCAATCCTTGAGGGTTTGGTCCGATTGCCTTGTGAATTCGTGATGCGTTACTATACGTTCATCCTATTTACACTGGCTGCCTAGTTAGAACTTCAGTTCCCAATCCAAATAGAGCTGAATTCGAGAAGGGGGGCATCATATTGATGTCATTTCGACCATATGAGATAGCCATGTTTTGGTAGAGTTGTATTGCTGGCACTCTTCTCTCAGTTTATGGAGCACCGGACAGGTAATCCAGAGTCTTCTGGCTAGAATCCTGTCATGACTAAGATTTCTGTTTCACTTTTAAACGTCACCCAAACCACAGCTACCCAAGATGGTCAAAGTGATAATAAATATGCTTCAGTAGTGACGACACACACCTTGTTCTCAAATCAGTTATCCCGTTCTGAAGTCATTTAAGACAATGTCAGAACATTGCATCAAGGTGACCGCGGGTAAGATATAATTCTGTGTCAGTTTTTTTATTTTTAGGCAACTATTTAAACTAGTAATTTTGCTTGATGGTGGCTAGCAGTAGGTTGCAGGCAGCACGTTCTATCCTATTCAGACCTCATCATCTGGATGTACCTTCACATGAGTTCTACATTCTACTGCTATCCACCATCAAGCAAGTTGCAACATTATGAATAATCACGTAATGTCAAGGCATCCGCATACCAGCTCATATCCCAATAGAAGTCGATCAATTCGATCTAGAATAAAAAAAAGAGGAATCACAAGTATTAACAAGTAGTACTTGGTATTTGATATTTTCACAGATAAGAGGTCTCATCATTCAATTGATAGAAATTCACTATGTCTTACAAATATTATCATTTACTGTAATAAAAGTTGTCAGAAATTATCACCTTGTTACCAACCATATCTGAGTTAAGGTGTCAGTTACTTCATAAATTCTTTGCAACAGTTTTCTTTTATTTCGATTATTTATTTTATATTTCAGAATAAGTAAACTGTATAGAAGAACGTAAACACCTTTGATTTTTACACTAACTCATGACAAATATCATACACGTTGATGAGGAAAAAGGCATAAAGTTCTCTAAACAATAGTAAGATAAGTAAACGAATTGATAGAGTTGTTATGGAGAAGATTTATCATTTAGAACGTAAATGATAACTGCTTGGTATTCTTCGAGTTTTGACGTTTGTTCACTTTGAAAACTGCTATGATTTCGTATACTGATAATTAGTTCATAGATTAAATTAAACAAACAGTTAAAGCAATTTTAAAAAAAATGATCATAAATAAAAGTAGTTGACGGTAATACTTTATAAACAAACCACTGTTAATGACTAGTTTAGCTAATACAAGTTCATTGAACAGTGTCTACACAATGATAGTTATTCAACGAAGTTTATTCAGAAGTACTGTAAAAGCAAGGAAAAGAGAGCAGGATGTGTTACTGTTGATAAGAAACTAGTATTTCTTACTTTAGGCTTTCAAGGGAGGTTATGCTGACTAGAATCAACAGACAAATTATGAGTGCACTGTTCATGACCTATCTGGCTGGCAGACTTGTGTCGCTGTAAAAAACAACACGTACAACTACACAATCGGAATTCGATAAAGTCACAACTCCTGTTTACTCCAACTGTATTTATCAATTCACAAATACATAGGTTAGTAAGTAAGGCAGAAGAACAGAGTGGTGGTTGTCTATCAGGATTGCAGAGCACATGCAGAACGATCTAAGTCTCAGAGATCCATCCTAGCTCAGCAGTACAATAGCTCGTCACTTATGTGGTTCGAGACATCAAGTGGATGCTATGATATCAGTCACAGTAACACAAATTAGTGAATCTGAATCTATATAAGAGGCTGGTAATGTGTCGCTGACTAACGTATTGTTATAACTTGCTTCTAAATGATCATTTATACTATATTTGCTCAACGTTTCTGAATGAAAAATAATGAAAAAATAACTAGCAAATAATCAGTATGAAGTCACAGTTTAACACAAATAAACCACATACTCTGAACTGTTCCATTCCTCTGAAATGCTTAAATATTATTTCAAGGCTAAAATGATAAAACTTAATGATACAAAGAAGTTGGGTTGAATTCATGCAGTCAAACACTATTGGTTTAATAAATATGTTTCTATTTTCAACAGAACACATTCCTGAAGCTTTTGTATAACCCAAACAAAACACACATTTAAACATTTGCTCAGTATCATCAAGTAATCACCAGACGCAACATTTTGCAAGAAATAATACTTTTAACGTCACTCTTTTTATGCTTTTTGTATCATGAAGTAAGCGGAGTTGATAGAAATATGAGAAGTATTCAGCCCAGTATTCGCTTGTATTACGGTTACTGTTCATGAAAATAGTCAAATAATTGGTAAAAATTATAGTCACCGTTTCTATGCACCAATTCTATAGCTTATTTAAACAAATTATTTTCCCGTTAATCGTCTTGTTTGCTAAATTAATAACATATCATATTAACCTACTTAACAGTTGACTGCAAAAGACAAAGTCACAACTGGAACTTGCCCTCAAGTACATTCCCATTATAACATTTTTTAAGATGAAAGGTTGTATCGGTGACATATTTCCATGTAAACTGAGTGGTCAGAAAAACTTCAATAACATTTTCTAGACCATATATTTCACCAATACTCAGGTCCAATAAATAAGTCCTAAAACAAAGCTTAAGTATTTAGTTGATTATTTGAAGTTGATCACTACTAAAAGCATTCTCATAGATGAACATTTAAACCTTGTCGATAGTCAAGCAATGGACAGATATCTTGTCACCATACATGTTTTCGATTCAACTTCAATCTTCACCGAAGTAAGTTACATAACTCCGAAAAACTAATGCTACTTCAGACAGTTTCAACAACAAATCTTCTTTGAAAAATGGAAAATTATTAGTAGCATTTTCAATTTTAGCATAATGTTTTTGTGTATTTATAAGTAGCATAAATTGTTTGTAAAAAGATATTAAACTGGGACGAAAGATATGTATCTTTAAGCTGTACTATGATTTGAACTCTCACTGTAAGTACACCATTACGGCTATTTAGAAATAGCTGACTCCTAATTGAATTTGTGAGCATTGTTATATTTGATGTATCATTTTCTATGTACGTATAAAGCAGTTTGTGAGTCACAACAAAAGGTTCATGGTAAGTGATTGAAAATGATCATGAATTACCTTGGGTTTTCGGATTATAGTTTAGTCAGTTTGTTAGGATCTCAAGCTTCTAGGCTGTATTTAGCAGAGCGAAACATAATTTTCAAGCCATCAAGATCAAATTTCACGGCTAAAAACCGAGCCTAACAAATGAAAGCCCTACTGAAGGTTTCAAATTTAAAAGTGACATTCTACTTTACCATGTACCTTGAAAAGAAGAGAACTATAACTGACCGTCTGTATGGTCATCAACATTGTACCATCTACTTCATCTCTTCTCAGGAGCAAACTATGGAGTTATAAATACACGTGAAAACGTTGCTTTCCGTTTTAAATCATATTTTGAGAATTTCGATACTGTCTGAAGTTTCACAGAATTCCTAACGAATTTAAAAGTGAAGCAACCACTAGCATAATAGATGACAAGTCCATAGATTGAAAAAAATTGATGCTATCCTTGTAAAAACATTGTGTATTGCGAATGCAACAAGAACTTCAGCTATTTTATTGACATGGGAGAAAAAGATTACATTCATTTTTTGAACAATGTAGCGAAAATGTATTAATGATGGATATGACTGAAACACAGACAGTATGAAGGCATCTGCACAGGAACCCATATACCAGTAGATACAGGTCAATTCGATCCAGTTAATGACTGGATAGTACAAGTGACAATATTAAAGTAGCAAATATTTGTTGGTACTTGTCATTCCCCGTTGTTATACTAGATCGAATTGCTAAACCTCTGTGGACATATGCACACCTATGAGGATGCCTTAATATCGCTTGAATATTCATTATCATCATTTACTTGGTGGTGGCTATCAGTGGAATCCAAGATGACCACTTCGTCCCGTTTAGGACTCGTCAAGTGGGTGTACATGCACTCTAGTGAGTTATGCTGTTCTCACTGAGATTCGAAAGAAACACGTGTCCTGGATTCCAATACTAGCCATCACCAATTAAATTATGATATTGTCAAACAGTTCATTTTGACCGATACTAGTTTCTTTCCAGGTAGTGCTGCTCATAGATTGAATTCTATATAGAAAACCCTGATCGACTAAGCATACAACCTACCAGTTGGGTAATGTTATCAGTTATAGAATGCTAGGCCTCTTATAAAGTAGATCCACGAAATCAAAACCAAATGTAAACAGGTAATAAATTAGTTGTGACAAAACTCAATTATTTTGCAAATCCAAAATATAAATAATCAACTGTACACAAATTTACCGGTGGTTATATTTTCTCACCTCTCAAACGAGTGACAATTGGCAATCAAATCTACTTGACGTTTTGGTCTCTAAATAAAAAGTATTCTATTTGAAATAGTGTAATATTCAACTGTTAGTAGAATACAGGCTGTAGTTTCCGAATGAAATTTACATAAGCCTGGATGTTTATCCGTCGTTAGGGACTTCTGAAAGAAATTTAATTACTGTTACTTTCTTTCTGAAATTATGCTTTTGGTTTAATTATTATTTTACCTTTTATTTCTAGAGAGTCGATGGAAACTTTATTAGCCCAACAGGCTGTGGCAGCCTCCATGGTTACAGGCATACCAAATATGTTTGGCTTACCGTCTATGCATCCATCGACAGCACAAGTAGTCGGTGCAAGCAGAAGTCATCATTATCAGCAACTTTCACAGAAAGATTTCCATCATGATACAAATCATTATAGGTCAGTAAAAAATTACCCTACTGCTTGTAAAATACCAGATACAGTGACACTTGTACCCACAACAACAACGACAACAACAATAGCAACTAACCCACCACCCTCATTACCGGTTTCAACTCTACCTCATCTACCAACCTCATTTAAGCAACATGTATCAAAATGCATGAATATAAGTTACTCAGGAAATGAAAATGAAAGTAAACCGACTAAAAACTTCTCAGACACAAATGAACAAACCATACTCTCCCCAGAACACAATGAAACCTTATCATCTGATTCAAATGAACTACTAATGTTTTGGCACCAAAAGTTGATTGAAAATACTTTTGCAGCCTGTCTTAATCAAATTCTATGGGACCACAGTGTTAAAAATACAAAAAATAAAAGTATCGAACCTATAACAACACCTTCATCATCACCAACTACCACACTATCATTCTCAGTACAATCGTCATCACCTTCAAGGTCAACAACACCATCATTCTCTCATAATTACTGTTCAATTATCAACGAAAAATTCATGAACGATATTAAAAGGCAACAGATACAATTCAATTTAAATCTGCAGCAGCCAATCGATCACAATATTTCCGATTTATCAACACTTAGTGACAGTGTTACCAATGATTGTAATGAACATTCAACCATCCCTCTAATCCGACAATTAATGTCGAATTCCATACCTCTCTTACAGTCATACCATAATTTGTTGAACAACTCTTTATTGGTTAATAAACTTTCTTCGGATGGATTAACTAAGTGTAATGATCAAAAACAACTGTTTAAACCTATGGAGACTATCGATAACTCGTTATTATTAAGTAAAGAAACATCAGCAAGTTCAACATCATCATCATCATCAGTAGACTGGAAAAAATGGAAAAATATAAACTTATTAAATGCATTTAACCAGATATGGAAGCTTCACTTGAACACATTGAATGCTGATGATTCTCATAGTACCAGTGAAAAGGAACAAATAGCTTCTAAAATGATAAACTATCCTGATATGAAGGATTTCGTACAGGCTGATAAAACAGTGCTAATAAAGATTCCGATGATAACACTGACGGGTCACTTAGTCAAACTATCTTTAACAATTTTATAAAATCTTGTAACTGGATAGATCAAAAGAACTTTCCTTCGACTGTAAACCACTATCACTCTAACGAAACAGACAAGATAATCAAACTAAGGTCAGATTCAATCACCTCAATAATCTGAATTGTAGATGAAACACTTCCGAATGTTAAATGTCACTTTATTCTTAGTATCGATACCTACCTATATGCACATGTTTCTATACAGATATCTAAAAACTGGAGGTTTGTATAAATCTAACAAAATTATGATGATTTTGAGTAAGCAGTGTCACTGAAAAAAGACTTTGTCAGCATGTTCTCATCGATAAAAGATGACATGAAATTAATTTCCAGTGAATTCAGAGTTTATCTTTTAATCACTAAATGAAATCGTTTAACTCTCATCATCACTTCATCTAGACCACATCAAATATCACTAGAACTGTTTCTCACTGAGTTCTGCTTACGAGGTCCAAATGTAACTATGGCAACATTTGTAATTTATTTAGTTTACAACTTTTTGCTACTGAAATGAGAAGAAACAGTAGTATACACTGTATCCATATATTAATTATTATCAGTGTAAATAAGGATTTATAGTTGTTTCGTGTGCATAGTGCATTTTCTTGTGATTTACTATAAATTAATTTTCATCCACCACATAACAAAAAATTATTCGCTACATTTCCAGATATAAACTTTTCAAACAATAAGATTTGTCTAGCAAAATTTTGTGTTGAAAAATCTTCCCAGAATGTTCAAGTGATATACTGTTAAAATATCTAAGTTAGAGGGCATACAACTGCTACTTCCACTTACAGATAGAATCATCATCGGATTCACTCAGTCAGTTAGTCAGGCATACGTGATGCACTGAAAATCACAGGTGAACCAACGATAGATGAATGAATTTTGAGTATTAGTGACAGACTATAAAGTTATCACTGAGATACACAGATTGCCTAGGCGATGTTTACCCCTTAAAATCAGTATGCTGTTGCATGTCAGTATGCATTTAGTCATATGCTATATGGATTACATGGGTTTCTTGGGACGTTTTTCGACTGTTTTGGACATAAGTGTAATATTCGTCGAGAGGAGGTGAAGAGAAATATGCTTAAATGTCACTGCCATTTATTTGGTGAATCTTTACTTATCGATGTTTGTTAGTGCATAACATTGTAATTGGACTGATAGCACCTTTGGTAAAAAAGTAAAATAAATTTAACGTCTTCCGAGCAGACATTCTATGAAAATATTGTTTCCAGTAGTCTTTTATTGAACAATGCAGTATATAACATTATTCCTGCAGCTTAAACACGTTCAGTTTCTCTTTTATTTACTGCAGTAAATATCAGTACACTTTAGGTAATCCGTACTGTCATCAGTTGTACAACAGTGAATCGAATAATCTCCGTACTTTGTTCGAATAGTTTAGAATAAGTTCAGTTGCATAAACAATAAGTGGGATCACCTGAAAATTAGTTTATAATTTGGGGAACTTCCCGTCATATTTTATAACAGTCAAACTACTGCTGAAAACTAACGACTACTGGATGTATGTTCTAAATTGTTTTCAAGCTCACTTTTTAAGATGTTAAAGACCTTTTAATAAACAAATCTAAAGCTTTTGAATTTCACATCGACTAATTCAGCCGAATGTACAGGTAAATCCGAAGTTAAAAGGTTGTATAAGAATTATATACTGGAAAAACGAGGAAGCTGTTTATTCCTTCTGGCTGTCTGACAAAAATGAGTTGATTCGAAGGTCATCTGAGAATAGATTTGAGTTCATCAAGAAAAATTGAGTTAGTGGAACATACAGTCACGACTATATCCTTATTTCTTTCGAATTTAGCAACCTGTCACAGAATATGAGCAGTTTTCTTCACTGCATTGCTAAGCACTTACTCGTTAGTTAGCTATTAACTCGTCAACCTGAAGGCTATAAGTTTTTGATATCATTGCTTGCACGAAGTCGAATCATGAAATGAACAATATTGAAGAAATGTATAAAGTGCTATGCTAGATCTGTAGCCTAACGTTTACTCCAAAGTTTTGCTATCTGGAGTAAGGTTTTAACTAAGAAGATCTATGAATAACTATACCACTTAAATAGACATTCATTTTTTCTCCAAGTGATAACACAAATTATATAGTGTTTTTGTATCATGGTTGTTAGGATTCTATCCAAATTTCAGCTATTGTCTGTCAGTTGGATTTATGGGACTAGAAATGTATTGTTTCGTATTTTCAGTGACCAGAGACCTCATTTAATAAGTTTTTAAGATCCAATAAAATGGATTACTTTGTTCATCTATGACCTAAGGTCTAATCTCTACATCATTTGCATTCCATGGTCCAACGAAATTTGAACGATGCTACAAGGGAAACGATGATCATGCAGCTTCATTCTTCATATATTCTCAAATTTCAATAATGATGAGCAGTCTACCCTTAGTAAGCAATCCAATATCTTAAAAAAGCCAGTTCCAGTCAACATTTTCGCGGGGAAATGAGGGGCAAAACGCGGGGAACACGGGACGAAGCTCGGGGCCATGAAATATTTGGTCTTCAAAGGTACACTACTTGCTATTTGTCAGTAGCCTGATATTTTAAGTGAATATATTCTTGACTTCAGGTTAGGAATTTTTTGCAGCTGCAGATGACAACCTGTCAGCCGAGTTTAAAGAAGCTGGTATTTTGTGATCTGTTTAACAGTATTCCATTCCACACTACATTTAATCCAGATCCCCTTCCAAATGTAAGCGTTAGTCACAGCTATTTAGGCTGCAGTTCCTACAGTTAGGCTGCAGGTATCCACTGTTATTTATGGCAGGCATTGGTGCATAATTACTTTCAAACAGCTCTGTTTCAGTGACATGGATCTCATAGGATTTGTGATGGATTACAGTGCAATACCTTCTAGTAGCGTAGCATGTAAAGGTTTGTTACATGCTATTATAATCCTTATATAAACATACTTGTAGGTGGAAGAAAACGTCTCCCTCACCGAAGTACACTCTTTCGTTGACGTAGGAAAGTGGAGGATGACATTATGGAGAACGTCTTAAGTTCGGCGCGAGGCATGATTCTGAAAGGGGACTTGCGAGCTTTAACTAGGCGGCAAGCCTCACAGGTTTGCCAAATACATTAGGAAATCGCAGTTAAAAACTGATATGGATTGCAGTATGCCTTTACATTTCTTATCGTAACTTCCACTTAAGGTGTTCAGGAACAGAACGCAGCCAAGTACACCTGGGATAACATTGCAGTTGATGAATTGCAGATGCAGATGGAGGCCAACCGTGAAGGTGCACTGTATTAGCATAACCCAAGTAAAATCCAGCAGGTGCAACCAGTGGAAAGGAAAACGCAAATATAATGAACGAAGACGTTTTCCTTGCAGCTGCTGAAATATGTCTGCTGCAAGACATATCACGTGAAGCTCGGAAAAAAATTTAAAAATCGTGCACCGACTTGTGCAAGAAATACCAACAGACCCTTGAACAATTTTGGACAGAGTACCTAAAAGCTGCCTGAGAAAGGGCGTTGGGTCTGGGCACTACCTTCACATCGGTTTAGAAAGGAAGCTAAGTGTCCTAATACTGTAATGAGAAGGGTTAATTACTTGTGAGGCTATTGAGCTGCAACTAAGTATTGATGGACTGTCTTTGTACAATGGTTCTGCACAACTGTGGAATTTCTTATCCCCTGATAAAAAATGCATTCTAAATCAGTGTTTACAATGGCTTCATCAAACCGGTTAATATGACGCAACACCTCGATGAACACGCCATAAATATATGCAATGAAGTAGCTTAGCTTACTTCAGAATCTGCATCTTTTGCTTCAGCACAGCACTTGTGCCAAAAATAACAAGGAAGAGGTAAATCCCTTACATCTGAACCTGTAACCAACTTTCTTTAGAAAAACAGCAAATTCGGGAAATTTTATATTTGAAGAATACCTTTCTTCAACCATAGAGAACCCCAACTTCCAATTCAGTAACCCTCACTAATCTAAGTTCACAAATGCATTGAACGTGTCAGTGTTAGATTATCATGCACTTTAAACGTTAGCATGGAAGCAAAGGGAGCTGTCAACAGTACACTTATATCGTAAGTTTTCCTAACTAACTTATAAACGTTATATTCCAGCTCATCTGTTATGTACCTAATGAACGTGAATTCAGCTGGACAATCAACTTCACATATCACAGGTTCACTGTGAACAGGCTTTTCCTTACAGGTCTTACCTATATGAAGAAACCGGGTTTACTAAAGCTAACGGATAAGTTATAATGAGTAAGTTCATCAACTTTTTGGATAACGCTTACAGGCTACCTGGAGAAGATGGAGGTGCAGATGCAAGTCATTATCCGTTTGTTAACGTACCAACAAGCCTCGATGCCTGCACCTGTTCCAAAATCTACCTGTAACATCCGTTGAGGGATTGAAAACACTGGAAATGACACTTGCTGAAGAAGATTTCTTCAATAGCTTCGTAAGCCGTTCTAATACACAGACTAAACCTTGTAGCATGAAGAATTATACAACATAAACTCCAGTAACATGAAGATGACAATGACTGCAATGTTGCGTCATGTCTTTCAAATAGAATTCACTCACCAAGTGTCTAGAGCTGGTACGAAGCCGAAGACAGACATCAAACATACACTGATCGAAATGACTATTAAAAGTAAGTTGTCATTGGCATATGCAATTTACATTCCTTAGGAGTACATAAGAATTTCCAGCTAAGGCAACCGGAAGGTGTAAGCAACCTTGACAGTAACTACTGAAAGTTTATGAAAGATTGGTTCCACAACCTAAGAGACCAGGAAGGTGGGAGAATAAAGAGGTGACTATCTACCAAGGTGAGCGCAACTATTTATCACAGTTACACTCTTTTTTTAGAGCAGGGAAAACCAAGACAGTAATTCGCATCAGGTTCGAATATCCAACATCATTGAAGGAAATAGTTCGAAAGGAATGGCTGAATCCTTGTTGTGGGAAAATGTAAAAAATTTTGAAGCCTTATAATAAATCTATACTTGGTATGGAATTTCACTTCCTTGCATTAGTGGCACCTATGTATTCATGTGGGGTATGGATAATTGAAGCACTTGTAATTTTCCCTTAGTAATTTTGCATACGGGTCGAGACTGAATAAAGTAGTTGTCGATACCAAATGGCTTTTCTGGAGTAACGAATTGTAGGGCAAACTGCTGCAAAAGGGGTGAAGAATAGCAAAGGAACGAGACTAAATGAAATAAAAAGTAGGGCATTTCGGGGGAAACTTGGGGAAATGTTGCACAATGGTATGTTTTGCCCGAGTTTTCACTACAACCTGTAACATGCCTCCTTCTTTTGCCCCATCCCAGTCAACATTTACGCGGAGCAAAACAAAGAGGAGTATTGCGGATTGTAATGAAAACTCAGGGCAAAACGAGCAATTCTGTAACATTTCCCCAAGTTTGCCCAGCGAAATGCCTGTACTTTTCCGAACTGCCCCGCAGTTCCACATGAAATGTCCTGCGTTTTATTTCATTTGCGTTCTTGCTTTTGCTATTCTTTCCCCCTTTTGCAACGGTTCGCCCTACAACATCACTGCGGAAGGGCTATTTACTAACCTGAAGTCAAGAATTTATTCACTTCAGACGTTAGGCTACTGGTGAATAGTAAGTAGTGTATCTTTAAAGATTAAATATTTCGTGGCCCCGAGCTTCCCCCACGTTTGCTTCTCCTTTCCCCCGAATTTGCCCCGTGGTTGAAAAATGGTCCCCCGTTTTGTCCCACGCTTCCCCGTGAAGATGTTGACTGGGAATTCTGTTGTCTCTATGGTAAAACTTCGCTGCCTACCACACCATAATCTGCAATATAAAATGTCCAACCAATTCACAGTGAACATCACAACAACATTCACCAACCACTGTGAAAGGTAGTTATTACCACTTTGTCTAGTTTCACATGCTTGCCTAACTCTGTCAGGTTTGTGTCGCAATTACCAGACTGGATAACTTACCACTGCGGTGAACTGTGCTTAATTTGGAACACCTGAAGTCACAGACACACTACATCGTGGTTTCATATTTATTAACACTAGTAAGCTAGACCAACAGGGACCCGATTTGCTAAGTGGTAACATTCGTATTTCCATGGCTTGGTCACGTTGACCAAAGTTTCTGTGAGGGAATTGGTTCCATAGAGTGAGTGGATGTGTTGTTTTCAAGGGTACCAACGTAAATGATGCATGGACTCTTTGCGTGTACACACTCTTGGCTTCGTACAGGAAAATATATATAGTGTTAGTAAATGGAACTATGCCATTACAGGAAAATCAAATTCGAGTAAAAAGCAATATATTTAAACAAAAGTATAACGCCAAAAATGACTAAAGCTAATGGCATGAGTCATAAATAATGTCAAAAGATTACGGTAGTTGATGGAAAAGTTTCCAAAAGGAAAGAAGGTAGTTTGATTCATCTAAACATATGTTTAATTGTAAAAACATAAATGAATATTTACCATGTAACGAAAGACGTATGGAAAGAATCGTGAATAATTTGAGTAAAACAGCGCTTGAAATATTTTCGATAAGCGGAAATGATTTATTGAGTATAACTGTACACTTAAAGCTTCATTTCAATTTCATGGTATTTATACCATTAATATATGCAGTTTGTTCCGTTGTTATCGTCAGATTTATAATATCTATCATTTTTCGATTGAACTTTCAACCAATATGAATTTTCAGTATGACTGTTTAAAATAACCGTGGCTTGACAGACTGATGGCCTGTTTAAATTTTCGACTACCAAAAAATTTTCAACTGAATATACTTTATCAAATTCTTCCCCTTCTCGTTGCTTTAAGTTTTTTAAATATGTCTTCGAAATGTATCATATACTCTTGCACTTTTAAAATGTTTTCAAATTGTCGTTTCTCAAGCTACGAACGAACCAAAGTAAAAACGTTCACCTGAAAGAAAATAGACAGACAAATGATCAAAAATACAGCACAGTACTATTCATAGGATTCCTATATCGAATTACAGATTTTTGTACTAGCTAACTAAGCTGCTACCACCATAACTACACTCAATTTTGTATCCACACCCAAGTCTAGACCAGACACTTATATAACATCAGCTATCCATTTAATCTTAGTGCCTTTAATTCCGTTACTATTACAACTATTCAGTTGCAATAAAAATTTCTCTTGTCAAAATATTACCTTCTTAAAGTTCCACAATGTATCGCAAGTATTTGGAATAAAGCGATTATTATTATTATTGTTATTGATACTGGGTGATGATTGAAGGTGAGATGAACATCTGGGTCACGATAGGATTCAAACCATCGGCTTGGTGCACTGCCAACTGAATTACGAAATCCAGCTGCTAATTAGACCTTAGTTTCACTTCAAATACCGAGGGTTCTGCCCTACTGCCATATGAATTCATAGTGTATAACTGTCCGTTCATTGTATTCACACTGGTCGTCCAACTAGGTTTTTTCATACCGATCTGAATCAAGCTAGATCAAAGAGAGGGAACATAATATTGATTATCAGTTTGACTATCTCAGAAAGCTGTGCTTTAGTAAACTTGTATGAATGATACTGAATGATGATTGAAATTGAAATGAAAATACGGGGTGCAGCAGGATTGGAAACAACGGACCAATATGAATTTTGCTTGATACTGATAAAGTTTATTTCATTCACTAACATCTACTAATAGTCCATAATACCTCTGAATTTTCATGGATCCCTACATAGAGCAGTGACATATACAAACTGTCTGCTGCTGAAAAGTACCATGAAACACCTTATTTTGTCTACATCAATAACCTGTCAACTGCTGAACTGTAGACGAATACATAGATATGGAAGTGTTTTGTGCAGAAATGGATAGGAAAAAAGTGATGTTAACGTGCATAAACGTTTTTGAGAAGGAAAAGTATGAATAAAAAGAATTTAGTAGAAATGAAGTGTGTATACATCTTAATCAGTTTTATAGATGTGCGACAGTTTCAAAAAAGACCCTAGTCACTAATTTTTAACACTTTTAGGACATCAATATGGTGACCTACACTTCCTTACTCATCTCAAAACAGCAGTCAGTGATTTCAGAGACTGATGATATTTTTTAGGCTTATCATCTTTGGCATTTGTTTGACTTAATCCTAATTGGGTTAATGCCTTCCATAGGTTCACATTTATTTAAATTATGAACGACATGTACCGTCGACGACTTATTAAGTAGGTTTAAATTGTTGTCTCGTACAACTAATATTCTGTGGTTCACTAGCTATTATCTGAAGGTAATCTGTCGACTTAAATTACGTCAATACACCGTACAGACAAACGATAGTGGATAAAAATAATCAACGTAAACTTCGAAAAGTTCGCCAACCTTAGTATATCAGACTTTGTAGTGATTGTGATATCTGTACTGAGATTACGTCTAGCAAAAATGAAATGCGAACGAGTTTTGTCTCTAAGTTACAATATTTTACATTTCAACTTTCTTTAAGTATTAGTAATGTAACTATGATATAAAGGTTTCCAGTCACCGATGCATTATCTACAGTAATTTGTATATTAGTAAGCAGTAATTATTTACAGTATTCAGTATTAAAAGTTGGAATGACTATTTGGTTTAGATATTTCTATGCTGCCAAACCAAGATTAACTTTCTACACTCACTGAGTGCTTCGATTATGCATAAGTTAGCCCCCTTGGTCACCTCGATGTGTGTTTATCAATCCACCTACTGCTGTGGATTAAGATTTATTGACCGTACTCAGAGTTCGCTTTCCAAACGTATACCTGGTTCCACGAAGAAGGAAAGCGGAAATTTCACAGCTCTATTTTGGAATATTTGATCGATTATGACCACACGGCAAGTGCAGAAAACAACTTTAGTGTCATTTATAGAGTTAGTGCAAATCTCGTAAAAGGTGTACACCTAAAACTTCTTCAAACTGCAGAAACCGTGGCAATTAATATTCAGAAGCCTAAACTCTGAGATCAAAAGAAATCTGTCCGGTCACTTGAGTTATAATGGAGATAACCTATTAGAACATTTTTACTTTCAAAAATCTTTTCACCTAGATCTCACACATTATATCCCTCTACTCTTATAACTCTGATTTATCTTCACATTCACCATGTTACATCATTTAACTTAGTAACCAAAGCTTACTTCTGTCTTGATAAGTCTTCTTTTCATTACTATTTCGAACATTACGTAATTCCTTTTTTTCCACCCTCCGGATCTGAACATCGTTGAAAGTATCTTCTGAAACATTCCTTTTATGTTAGCATGTGAACAGAATATTTATATGCGATTGTATAGCTTGAGAATGATATCGCGGAAATGAATGATTCTCCGTTACACGTCTTTTGTTTTATGACTTAATGGGGATTTTTAAACTATTAGATATTATAGATTATATTCTTTCGAAGCTGACTGGACCTTTCTTCAACGTACATTTGTTTATATATTTTGTGATAGAATAAAGTCTTCAGAGAGTAGGTTCATTTTAATTAGTGTGCGCATTTTCCTGATAATCTAAACGCTTATAGTCCTTACATGATTACTAGCTGTATTCGGTGACTAAAACTGTTATTCACAAGAAAGTAGAATAAAATAAAATTTATATTGAATGCAATAAAATATGTAGCGAAATGTAACGACTGACCTTGGCGAATTTTGAAACAAGTAGTTAATCTCAGTTAAAATTAAAAAAGACTGAAATATACACATTGAAGTAAGTAATTCATTAATTTTTAAGGAAACGAGAAACAAATGGTAGCCAGGTTCGATTAGACTGAAATATAGCAATATCATAACAGATGAAAATATATCAATAAAAAGAATTAGTAGGGAAGTTTCGTTTCGATACAACTTCCAAGTTTTCGCATATCACTTCATTGATTTTCTAGACAATATGTTGACCTAATTCCGTTGACAACTATCAACAGGTTTTTGTCGAAAAAAAATGAGTATTTTAAACTGAAATTTACGACATCGTGTTAGCGGATTTCGGTGTTGAATAACAGGTATTTTGCCTTGACTCTATTACACCAGTTCAATGTGCATCAGTCAATAAAAGTCGCCTGTAAGGCGGTTTTCTGTCTAAAACATACTCTGACCACTAGATGGTTGTTGCAGATAGCTGGTAAATGAGATACATGTGTTATCTTTGCACTAATAACTCTATTAAAACGATGACTTCTCTTTGTTTGTAGAAATGTTGGGTTTATGCTTATATTTATACTTCCCCTCACTGGCTTTTATTTATCCCAAGTTAAATTATCCCAAAAGTTACACTTACTTTGGTTGCTGGAAGCATATAATATTCTTGCACCACTTATGTATCGTTTCAGCTGGTGACAGTGTGGAATGCAATACCGAAAGATGACTGCGATAAAATTAAGTGAGCGGTAACTTTCATGATCATCTTAAATGACGTTAGTTTCCTCATGTTTGCAGATATGACTTGCTGGTGAAGGTCAACAGCCAAGAAACCTTATTTCAGAAGGGTTTCCTGTCGATTGACTTCCACCACCTAACATCAAAATATAGTACACCTCAGTATCACGTCGATTCTTTTGGTGGCGTTATTGTAAAACCTAGTGAATATTATCCGGCCAACGCAAGCACTTATAACTTGAAAGCTACATGATTTACCTGCTTTTTACTAACTAGTACACATGATTTCCATTGTGCTTATAGATTTCCATTGGTTGACTGTCAAAGGATTCGAAAGGATCCTTGTATATCAAACTGAATTCCTATCCTGAATTTTAATTTCAGCAACTAACCTCTGCTTCAAACGTTTAATCCTGACCATTTTGCACTTCATACTTTTTATTTGATCACTTCAAAGCTTATACTCAAGCTCTGTTCTAAAAATTTGCAACTTACTACATTTTTTATCGAAATTCATTACCGTTTTCAGTACAGTGAAAACTAGAAACTCTGAGGTTACTTCCTATCGAAAATCAACATAGGTTCCCTCTATCTTAACTGATCAACTGAAGAACTGATTGATTTTGTTGCTGTACAACTTTTATAATTTGAGAAAAAATGAAATAAATTATACTTACTTTACTGAATATTTGAAGTTGTGTGAAAAACTGTTCCTTTAATTATTTTTACAATACAGAATTCAGAAATCTGTGGTATTTACTGAAGAAACTATAGATGGAAGGACCATAATCTATTTTATGCCATAGTAAGTAAAGAAATTCTGAATATTTTCAGTGCAGTGAATTGTGATGAAAAAAAAAATCAAATGCTTTAAAAATGTTTTGATTCCGGGAATGATTAGTGAAGGATTTTTCAGAAAAAATTACTCTAAATATATATTTATAGTTCAGTGTTATTGCTTGTATTACACCGTCGTTGATTGGACCAAATTGATCAGTCTCTGTTGGCATATGGGCTCCTATGTGGATGCCTTGATATTGCCTGTCTTTTAACTATGTTTAGTAATGATGAGCAGTGGCTAGCAGTAGAATCCATGACGCGCATTTCGTCCTGTTTGGGACTCGTCAGCTGGATGTACCTGCTTCCCAGTGAGTGATGTTGTTCCCACCGGGACTCGGACTCGGGATTTATAGTTGTTTAAAATACCTCGTTCACACCAGCTTACTTCAAGCAGAAGTCTTTTGACGATAAACTATATTGAAAAAAAATTTCTGCTGAAAATTCAACTTAAGTCTTATATGGTTT